GACAGAGCTTTCATATACTGGGCAGTATGTTTCACTCACGAGTTCCTTGATTATTTTAAGATTTTATTGTGCCCTGCAGAGACTGAAGGCATTAAGTGCCAGACACAGGAAAGCATCCCCAAAACAATAACCGAGACTTCTCCCTCATTTACAGTAGGTATAGTGTTCTTTCCTTTGAAAGCTTCATTTTTTTCCTTTGTGAATATAGAACTGATCTGACTTGCCAAAAAGTTGCTTCTCATTTGTCCAAAAGGACATTCAGCCAAAAGCATTGTGACTTGTCAATATTAAAGTGACATTAAAAGGCAAATTTTTTTCACCCTCACCCCAACGTTAATTAAAGCACTTACCTTAAATGATGTCTCTTAATCCGATCATCTTCTTTCCTGTAGTTTTCAGCCTCCTCTCCAGCACTGCGGAGAGTCTCCGATCCAGCGCTGACTCCTCTGAGCTTGCTGGCACATACTCTCCCACGGTGTCTGCATGCGGGGTGCACGCATCCATAGACTTGCCTGGTGTCTTTCCTTGCGCCCCAGGCGAAAATGTGAACTGCGCATTTGCCCGCCCCAAGATGCTTTGTGGCCGCCCGTGCAGTTTCACATTTTCGAACGGGAGCGCGCAGGGAAGACACAGGTAAGTTTAAACCGCTGTTAAAGCGTTTTTTTCTTTAAAAAAACAAAACTTTTTCCATATATCTACTGCTTGCTAGCCTCATATATATGCAAGAAAAGCTGAGGGTTTTAGAAACCCTTTAATGATTTTTCCTTGATGTCCTACTTCGAGCCCAGTGTCACTGATGGTGCAGATCAGACACTTGTGTACTACGACCTTGCAGTTAAGCTTGCATCTCTTTGGAAGTTTTCCTTGACTCTTGGTCTAACTTTTGCACAATCTGGGAGTCCATTTTCCTCCTGCGACCCCAGATTGAACAGGGAGGTTGGCTACACTCCAATGGACCTTAATGTGTATCTAAACCCAAAAGCAAAAATAAAATATGTTACAGCTTACTAATTTTAAAATATGGTGGCTGTTTTTATCGGTTTTATTTTTAGGCTTTTTCCCCCTGTAGTTTCACCTGGTGTAAGACAAGCCATTTAACACTGACAGGGGTGCTAACAATGGTCAGCTTTTATTCATTTACGTGAAACTTTTATCAAAAAGGATAAAAAAAATTGTTAGTCAAATCCATCTAAATCTGCTAGCCCAACCATACTCTCTCCACAGGATGACAATGCTGCTTTCCAAGAGTGGGTCCATTGCTCCTCCATAGAATGAAGCCATCCTAAGACAGGAAGTGTGCTACTGGCCTGATCACCAGGTGAAAACAAAGTGAAGAAAGAAAACGGATACAGACACCACATGTAAGCTGCAATATATTACATATTTGTTTTGGGTTTTGATACACTTAAAACTCCTTAATAAAATTTACAGCTTTAGTGACAGAAACATTAAGCTGCTTGGGGATGGTTTTATAGCCTTTACCGTTGGCATGCTGGTCTGTAATTTGCTTTCTGATCTCCTCAGGTAACTATCCTTTGCTTTCTCTGGTCCATGTTCAGTGTGGTGTAGACAAACAGGCTGCTACACAAGTGATCTGGGCAGCCTTGCTTGTAAAAAATGAGCGGCACCTTTCCCCACTCTACATTTAGCCCTACTTTCCAGACGCAGGACTAGATGTAGAAAAAAAAAACACCCACCCAGAACTGCATATCCTGGGCATTGGGCAATAGGAATTCCACACCCCTGATGTTGACGCCAAACAGTGACTACTTTTCTCCATTAAAATAGACAAATAGACTGAATGACTGACTACAAGATAGAAGATGTGCAACACTAATTACAGAAAATGGTTAGTTTGAAGGATCACTATTATCTAATTTTTTAGGGTTACCAACATGTCTGTACAGGCCATTTTAGAATAGATTTAACTTATCTACTTTTAGACTTGACATACCAAGAGCCTGTAGGTATACATGAGACAAGTAATCACTTTTCAAGAGGAATGAAGCATTTAAAAAAAAATGATCTGTAAGGGTACAAATGTGTCCACGTCTGTATAATTAGACACAAATTAATGCCGACCTGTATTGTTTTAATTCGATTTACCTCGGCTTATATTCGGGACGGCTTATACTCGAGTATATACGGTAATATTTTAATGCAACTAGTGTAAGAACCTGGAGCTGACCTGGTATCAGCGTCTTGCTATCCACTATATACAGTAGCAGCAAGCAGACATGGAAAGGGAGAAGAGGACTGAGAACCAAGCAAGAGTGCTGAATACAAATGTAGTTACAAGACGAGAGAGTACAGAAATGACCTCAGCAGTGTGCAGCTACGCTTTCACCTTCCAGTCAGCAGGCTGGAGGTAGAGAGGACACCACTGTATTCCTTCTCCAGTGGCCACAAATGCATTTATCTGATTATTCAATGTGACTAATATGATCCAATAGAATGAGAATTAAAGCAGAACTCCAGGGAAATGTATAATTAAAGTGACATTAAGTCAACAAATGTTTCCCCCTTTCCCAATCCTGCTGTTTGGACTTACCTTAAATGAGGTCTCTTAACCCGATCATCATCTTCTTTCCTGTAGTTTTCAGATGTCCCTTCAGCGCTGATGCGGGTCTCCGATCCAGCGCTGACTCCTCTGTCCTCCTCTTCGCTCATGTCCCACAGAGTCTGTGCGGGTGCACGCTGCTCCATAGACTTACCTTGTGTCTCTCCTCATCTCCCGGCTGAAAATCTAAACTACGCATGCGCCCGTCCCAAGATCCTTTGCGGCCTAGTCCTTCCAGACTCCCCCTCTGCTGCAGTGGTCTAAGAATCCTTGTGTCATCACATTCTATACAAGTGTATACACAAGAGGACCGCTGAGTAACATTCCATCTGGGTAGCGTAATAGTAGATATGCTTGAGTGCCCGGAAAAGCAAGGAGTCGGCTTGGCAAATCGGGTGAGTACAACATTCTTTTTTTTAGCACCTAGACCAGGGATCAGCAACCTTAAACACTCAAAGAGCCATTTGGACCCGTTTCCCACAGAAAAGAAAACACCAGGAGCCACAAAACCCTTTTGACATCTAAAATGAAGATAACACTGCATATATCGGTTTTTACCTTTATGCTATGTATAGCATGTATATAGGTATATGTGGGCTTAGTAACTGGACTCTGGGCTTAGTAACGCACTGGACTCAGGGCTTACTTAGTAACGCACGGGACTCTGAACTTACCTAAGACCCCGCAGAGCCCACCTGAGAGTGACCCTGCAGAACACACCATAGATCCTGCACAGCCCATCTGAGACTCTCTATGGTGGACTCTGCAGGGCCTCTGGTGGGCTGGTCACCGGGGTCCCTTTCCCTGTATCTCCACCCAACTCCTCTTACCTGCTGCTGCTGGTGCCTGGCCTCCTCCACCCCCTCCCGTCACCTCTGCCATGCTGCCCCTCGTACAGCTGATACTCATGAAAGAGGCCCCCCGGGCTGCCCAGACCCCTCACATGGGTACCGGCCGTACCCCCCCTGATGGCGGTGTTCTATCAAAGTATGACTACGCTACAATGTGTGACCGGTGAAGTGGTCACACATTTCAATGTAGTCCCGGCCAGTTTTTTGGCGGTGGAATGTATGACCGCCAATAGGTGAAGCATTCCAATGCTTTCTCAGCTGTCCCAGGCAGATCGGCATCGCAAATCATATGTGTAGGAGAACCGATCTGCCCTGGAACAGCTGATCGGTCCTGAAATGTCACTTCTATCCGACTCTGTGAGTGCGATCTCACATTCCACCCCACTCACAAAGTTGGATAGAAGTGACATTTCAGAACCGATCAGCTGTTACAGGACTGAACACCTGGACAGGGAGCCTCAGCAGCGGAATGAAAGAGCCACATGTGGCTCCAGAGCCGCAGGTTGCTGACCCCTGACCTAGACAAAACAAGCAGTTAACCCTTGCAGTGCAGGGGTAGCACCACAGCAAGGGTTCATACATTTTTTTCCCCAGAGTTCTTCTTTAAAAGAAAAGAAAAAAAAGTCTCATTTGTTTATTTAGCTACCAAGAGTCTGTTTTGTTTTTGTGTTAGGCTTCATTCACACTTGCCAATTGTGTTTTTGTCCTCTATATGCAGAGAATAATTTGTCAGGCTAGATGCTGTGTTTATGCTTCTAGATGCATAAAATGACACACGTTTATATGCATTTGCTTTAAGATATATATGGTACCAAATCCTATAATCATCTTGCTGTGTTTACATGCATTTTGGTGCATTTAGAAGTTAAAAAAATCAATTCCTAGATGCACCTGACTTCTATTTTTTTTTTCTAAATACAGGTAAACTGACTGCAGATAAAAGCACTTAGACACAATGTGAATAGTCTCGTTGGAAATCATTAGATGCATACATGTGCATTTAGAAAAGCTTTTGAAATGCATCTAATCGCACCTAGTACCTCTTTAGCCTTTATCTGACCTCACATTTGAGAAAAAGCCCCTTGGCCCCAACCACACAAATAACGTAACACGCCTCTACACTCCAAGGGTCAATAAACACAAGACAGACAACATACCTTCACACCCGCACCTGGGTGCAGATTCTGAGCCGGAAGCTGCAAGGAGAAAACCTTCCATGCTACTACATCTGACCCCGCCCACCATTCACTCAAGAGCCAATAGTAGACCGGTACACAAATCACTAATCAGTGTTCATCTCTCATTTTCAATTGCTAAGCGCTGCAAGCTGAGAAAAATAGCAGTGATTGGCTGACAGGACATGGTGGGTTTTTGAGCGTGTAGTGGAGTCAAGCTTTGAAAGGCCATTGAGTTTTTTAGGTGTTCAAAAAGAGTTAGTGTTACAACTACTTGCGCAGAACACAACGGGAACATACGCGGCAGCTCTGAAATGTTGTTATTTTCATTAAAGTGTAAATAAAGTTGCACACATAAAAAAAAGTAAATCCAATTAGAAACGATTGTTACTGAGCATGCGCGGCGTCCCGTCGCCGGTGCCACGTACGGGTTACGTGTAGGTGCCGTCAGCTCATGGGTGTTTCCGGCGCCTGATTGGCTGTGACAGGAGGGTGACGCTGCGATACAGACAGCGGACGGAGGAGCACGGACTGTTGAAGTGTTCCTGTCATTGTCCTCTTGCGAGCAGGCCGGGGCCTGTGTGAGCCGCTGCTGGCGGTGTTTGTTCTGTCAGGAGAGAAAGCGGCTGTCACAGGTAATGGGGACAGCGAGTCATTACGGGCGAGCCGGCCTGGGGTGTGGCGCTTGTGGTAGGATGGCTCTGAGCCGGCCTTCTCTGAAAGCTGCACGGCCAACATTACTTGTGCGTGTATGTAGACGTACATAGGTGGGGGCAACACCTGTAGACGCTCCACACTGACTTTTGTATTTATATTCCATGTAGCGCTGACTAATGACAGTGACATCATACTCTCCAACTCAGCGTTGGGGGTCACTTTTGGTTGAGTTCACCACACACATTATAATATGATTGGCCAGTCTCCCTTTGATTTTCCAAAAGCTAGGAAGTTCCAGGGCCTGCCAGACTGGATAGACCTAGTTTTTGTATATTGTATAAAGATTGTAAGGTGACCTTTCGGCCTTGTATATACATTCCTCTGTACTCCAGCACTTTGTTCTCTCCAGGACAAACAGATCTCCTCTGACATTGCTTGTCCTCCTCACCAATATCTCTTCTGAAGCCAGCCCTTCACATGCTCCTGCCCCAGCTCAAAGCACACTGCCCTCCAGCTTTTAAACTATTAAAGTACAACTAAAACGTGTGTGTATATGTATGTGTGTGTGTAAAATATATATATATA